GAGATGACGCCACAGCAGCTCAGAGTCACGGTCTGAAGGTTGGAATGAACAGCAGCAGATGCTGTCAGGTGCTGGAGACTATAGGTATGTAAGAAGACAGCAATGGAGGTAGCAGCACCAGGAGGCATTGCCAGATAATCAGGAGCAGTTAACAGCATTCAGAGGTGATTCAGACACAGAGTGCTGGTCACCCACCCTATCAACAGCTGTGCCAGTCACCCTGTTACCAAAGGCAGTGCCAAAACACCAGTGTTGCAGCTCTCTGTGAGTTGATAACCCACATCACCAATAAACAGCTCTTTGAGGCACCAGGCCTGGGGCCTTTGGTGCTCTTTTCAGGCATTGGCAGGACCGAAGGCAGATGCAGCTACGCCATCACTGCGAAGTTCTTTGGCCTCTGTCTTCGGAGGTTGGCAGCCGAATATTTTCTTCTTTCATTTTTTTCCTCTTTCTTCAAAGGTCAGGAAGAAAACAGGAGTCTTAGCATCCCAAACTGGCTCCTGCCCTGCCTTATATCCTATTTCAGGGCCCCTCCCCACCCTTCCTAGTTGATACCTGCCTGATTGGACCATTTTCAATTCTAAGTGACCAATTGGACCATTTTAGGACTAATCAGCCCATCTGGTGCTGAATAATTAACCAATTAGCTGATGACCATGATTGGTTCATTAGCTGGCACCTCATTGGTCCATTGTACCATCCAGGCACCAAATATAGAAAAGCTAGCGCCAGGCCACCATCAAGCCTGACCAGCACGGACCTTCATGTAGCCATCCTGGAGGGTGAAGCACAGCTTGGGAAACTCACGCTCGGGCTTCCAGCTCAAACCTGGTTGGCGCCTGGGGCAGGGGCTGCCCACAGGCAGGAACTTCTGGCTCCAGCAGGTAAATGTCACTTTTTGCCAATGGGAAAATGCCAGTCTTTCCCTGCAGTCCATGCTGCAGGACCCCAGTTTCAAAATAACGATCAATTCAACTGTTTGTCAGCTCTCATAGCAGAGGTGTTGTTTCATGTTTTGATTTGACTTGGTTTCATTTGGTTTAGGTTTTTAAGGGGCAGAGGAGAGTGTAAATGTCATAATAGTTGGTATTATAGCTTTATCTAGGTAGAACAAGAACTAGCTGAGGCTTTCACTTACAACAAATAAATCCTCTATCTGTTTTACAGACATATTTCAAGTAATATTTCAAGTAATATACAGACATATGTATAACATATGTGAAAATTTCTTTGAGTTTCCAAATAACCTCTAAGATAATCAGGGCATTTCCCCAAATATATATTTAACAGAAGAAAAAACTAAAAGATTAAGTCACTTATTCAAGACCATGGAGGTAATAAGGGCCAGAAGCAATGCTACAAGAGTGTTTTACTTCTGTGTATTAACCAGGATTTTTTGGTTAAGCTTCTGTCACTGAACCTTTATTTTCATGGTGAATCAGCTTTTGTTCTTCAGTGCATTGTGTGATCTGTTGTCAGAGCCCTGCACTCACTGAATCACTTCTTTTTTTTCCATGTCTCATTACTATCAGTTCCTCTCTTCTCTTTGACTAAATGTCCTTTCAACTTTCCCTCATTCTGACCATACTGAAGTATGGCGCTTTGAAATGACCCTTACTTCCTTTTTGGTTTCTTTTAGGAGAACTATCAGGGCTTGTAGAGGAATCTGAGTTTGTTTCACATTTATAAAGGTCTATGAACTTAGTAAGAAAAGAAACAGAAAAATTGAGCATATAGATCTAGGTAAATTTTGTAGACTATCAAAGTTTTTGTAGGCAAACAGATTTTTAAACGCAGTTTGAGTTTCCTCGAAGAAAGCAGGTTTTCTGAAACAGACTGCATTTCGTTGTGCAATAGCTCCATCCAGTTGTCAGAGGAAAAGCCCAGCCACCCTGCGAGAAATTCAACAGGTTTCCAGAGTCTAAAGGCAGCAGGCAGACGGTGTGTGACCTCACACCAACTACTCTACAGTCTCACAGTGAAGAGCCATCTGACACAACCGATGACCACAGAAACCACTCATCAGAGAAAACTGTCCGTGAAGTGTTCCTGTGTTTAGAACTAAAAATCAAAACAAGTCTACCTCTTGTAGTCACCTTTTCAGAATAAAGAGCATTTGACATGTCATTTTTCTCTTATTATTCCTCTAGAAAATAAAAACAGTAGGTGGAAAGTTAAAAGGATGACTAGGTGATTTTATTTGCCTGATTTTATCATATCTAATTTTTTAATTGAGGTAACAATGGTTTACAACATTATGATTTAGAGGCATAAGAGCACACCTCTTCAGATGTGTTACTGCACTATACCCACCACCGAGGCACCCCACACAATGAATGCCTCCTTAGAGACAAGAGGGGAATGAAGAGGTAAGATGAATCTTGACTGGAATACTAATGGGCTTCAGAGGGATTACATGTCAGGTCAACATGAAAGAATATGAGATTCTAACTGCAGCAGTTAAGGGGACACCATTTTAAAACAGGTGTATAGAAGGAATAGTCAGTGTGGCATAGAAGACATTTAGCCATAGGGGGTCTCCCTGGTGGTGCAAGGGGTTAAGTCTCAGCACTATGAAGCTATCCACAGCCACTGCAGCAGGAGTTCAATCCCCAACCAGAGAGCTAACCCATTTGGCACAGCAGCCCTCTCCTGTCCCACTGCTGCTCCCCTCAGCAGTGTATCTCAGTAGATCGGCACTCTGTCTCTGGTGAATCCCCTACTATCCCCACACCTCTGGCCTACACCCCAGTTCTTGTATGCATTTTAAAAAAGGCATTTAGCCATATATATTTACGTCTGTGTCCACTGAAATTAAGGCCTTGAGGACAAAGCCTGAGTCTCAAGTGTCCAAAAACAAACCCCTTCCCAACTTCATCCAGCTTGTTCCCTTTGTAAGATCTTAGAGGGCTTTGTAAACTAGGAAAGGAATATCCTGAGGCTATAAGCGAGTCTTCGGAATTTTGAGTAGGGGCTTTGTGTTTGCATTCTGGATTCACCTGGCAATAGTACAGCAAAGGAATTGGAGTGGGGCAAGCATTTATGGGGGAAACAGTTTAAACAGTCGCAATGATCTAGCGTTATTGTAGTAAACTGTCTCCAAGCTTCCAGAATTACTCTCAACCCAAATGGAATTTGACCCCCTCCATCTCAAAAACTCATCATAGTTTTCCTTTTTTGTATAAAGTTTAAAGTCCCAATCATAGTATTCAAGATCCTTCATAATGTGATTGGATTGAGTAACTTTTTTCCTCCTGCAACCACCTTCACATGCTCTGGCTAAAATCAGTAAGCAAATCAAGTAAAATGAGTAAATATGCCATGTATATGTACCCATGTGTTTATGAGGGTCACTGACCTTAGAATTTTGCTCTTGTTTCTACTGTTGTTCATTTCATTTTCTCATGAAGGATAGTGAAACTCTTTGAGGGCCAGATGGTGACTTATTCATGTATGTTCCTCCACACCTTTTAGCCTACTGCTTTACACATTGTTGGCACTTGGCAAATATTTGTTGAGAAAAATTGAACTGGGATAAGTAGTACTTTTACCTGGATTCAACATTTTTAGAGCCATAAATAAAAAGATCCATTTAATTACATTAAAATGTAAGACATAATTTTTTTAAAAGCTGAAAGAAAATCTAGGGAAAAAAAATACAGAATGTATATCACGGGGCAACTTCCTTAATATACCATCTAAAAATGAGCAAAGCAAATAAATGCACTGATTCCTCCGAAAATGTTTTAGTCAGTGGGAGTGAGGGTGTGAGGAGAAACACTCACAGGTTTGCCTATGGAGCAAAAACTGGTGTGCTCTTCCTGGGAGAATGATTTCTCTATAAAATTTAAAATGTAAAACCCAGGCCTCCCCTGGTGGTGCAGGGGTGGAGCGCTGGGCTGTGGAGCTGCCCACAGCCTCTGCAGCGCCAGTTCAATCCCTGGCCGCCTGGGAGGGTCCCACATGGTGCACAGACCTCTCCTGCCACAAATGCTGCTCTCCTAAGCATAGTATTTTGTCAGTCTGCCTGTTCTGTTCCCCGCTCTGACTCTGGTGAATTCTCTCTCCCGCACTTCTGACTGTACCCAGTGCTTGTATAAATACATAAATACATAAACACATAAATAAATAAAATGTAAAAATCTTAACCTAGCAATTCCACTGTTAGAAATGTCTCAAAACAGTCATACACAGAGACGCTTATTTCTAACAGCCCTACATCGGTGGGAGACCCACTCAGTGAATGTTTATCTACACAATGAAAAACTGCAGCTAAAAACTGCAGTTAAAAGAAATGGAGTAAATCTGTAACCACTAGAGGAGAATTGTTCCTCACTATATCACTAAGTGAAAAATAAGCAAGTTACCTCCAGAACATGCACTATTACAAATATGCTTGACGTGCATGGAAAATCTTGAAAACATGACAATAGCAGCTTCTAGGCACAATTACCCTAACCCTTTTGTATATTTGAACCAGCATGTTTTTCCTATGTGTTCGATTTGAAAGTCACCCCTCCCTAAACATATCTATACATTTGTTGATCATTTATTACACAGTAGAAGAGCACAAGGTATTGTGGATATAACTGTGAAAGGCATTGCTTAGGTCTTCCAGGAGCTTTCACACAGGTGGTGATTTGCAAACGGTATTTACATAGTACTCATAGTGTTCTACCCTACCCCGTCGCATGGAAAACCCATAATGAGATGCTTCCTACAAAAGTGAGATGTAGGGCCTCCCCTGGTGGTGCAGCAGTTGAGCGCTGGACTGCAAAGCTGCCCATAGCCTCTGCAGCACCGGTTTGATCTGAGGGTCCCACATGGCATGCAGATCTCTCCTGCTACACCCGCGGCTCCCCTCAGCAGTGTGTTTCGTCAGTCTGCCTGTTCTGTTCCCCGCTCTGGCTCTGGTGAATTCTCTCACCCTCTGACTGTACCCAGTGCTTGTATGGATAAATAAATAAATCTTTAAAAAAAAAAAAGTGAGATGTACACTAATACAGTAAGATGCCTTCTGTATATTATTAACTGATAATTGATATCAAAGACAATATCAAAGATTTCCCACAGCACCTACTAACATCCTGACAATTAGTTTATCAGCTTACCTCTCTCAAAGTAAAAGCTAGGAGAAATACAATAGTGGCAATGAAAATCCTTGGGATTCTAGCCCTCCAAAGTGGGGCAATGAGATCTTGAACAGCCTGGTTATGAGAAGAGTATACTCATGTTATTAGGGTTTGTGCAAAAGATGAAAATAAGGAAATAGGGAATTATCAAAGACAATTTAGAATAATATGATCTTTTAGGCCACACTACAACATGTTAAGGGTTTCCTGATTTAAAAAACCCACTTAGTTTGTCATCAATAGTACTTCATAGAAAACACTTCAGAAACCAGTCATCAAAGTACTATGGCATAAGGATAATGCTACTGCATCAAGACAGGGTAGTGCTGGAATACCATGGTGAATGGAATAGAATTTTAAGTCCATAAATAAACTCTGACATATTCAATCAATAGACTTGCAACAAGGGTGCCAAGGCAATTGACAGGGAAAGCCGATTTTTCAACAAAATGTGCTAAGACAACTGCATAATCACATACAAAAGAATGAAGTTGGTCTCCCACCTTATACCATATACAAAAATGGACTCAAAATGGACCAAATATGAGCTAAAACCATAAACTCTTAGAAGACAGGTACAAGTCTCTGTGATCTTCAATTAAGCAAGACCTTCTTAGATATGACACGAAAAACAAAAGAAAAAAAAATTGGACTGTATCAAAATTATAAACTTTCATGAAGTGAAAATACAATCCACAGAATCAGAAAAATATTTTGCCAAACATATACCTGATAAGAGATGTCTATGGAGTACAGTATATATATACTCAGTAACACACAATCCAATTTAAAAATAGGCAAAAGATCTAAATATTTCTCCAAAGAGGACATAAAAGTGGCCAATATGCACATAAAAAGATGTTCAACATGATTAGCCATCAGGGAAATGCAAATTAAGACCATAAAAAGATAGCAGTTCTTCCCCACTAGGATGGTGATAGTCAAAGGCAGATACAGTTAAGGAGAATGAAGTTCTCACACACTGTCAAATGAAGCTGCCACTTTGGATAATAGTTTGTTAGTTCAAGAGGTTAGCATAGTTGCCATATTGTACAAATTCAATTCCTAGTTATATATATATCCAAAAAGAAATGGCTGCCCAAACACATACAAAAATTGCTCACAAATTGTTTAAGACACAGGATAGCTCATAATAGTCAAAAATGGAAACCACTCAAATACCTATAAACTGATGAATAAAATGTGATTTGTCCATACCATGGAATGTTATTCAGCAATTAAAAGGAATGAAACATGCAACAGTATGAATGACTCTCTTGAAAAACATGAGGGTAAGCCAGTCATAAAATGCTACATTTTATATAATCCCATTTATACAAATGTCCAGGAAAAGGTATTCCAAAGGCAGAAAGCAGTTGCCAAGTTGGAGTTGGTGAGAAGTGTTAGGAAACTGAGAATACACTCTAAAATCAATCGTGGTGATGGCTTCATATCTTTGTCAATATATTAAAAACCATTGTATTACATACTTTAAATAATGATTTATATAGTATGAACGGTTTATCAATTAAGTTGCCTTTTTTTAGAAAAAGAGCTATAATGAGACAAATGGCTACTGGATGAATGTTGATATTGGTATGCATATTTAAAGAGCTGACATTAAAATTCCAAACCCTTAAACAAATATGCTGAAAAGTACTAAAATGCTTCACACATAGTATATTAACTATTTGTCAGGTCCTATTTTAATCTATCATTTTTATAGCAGTTACAAATCAAAGAAGTGCTGAAATAATTCATCTTGTATTCAAATAGAATCACATTTATTAAGATTTTTGAGTTTAGGGCCTCCCCGGTGGCGCAGCGGTTGAGCGCTGGGTTGCGAAGCTGCCCACAGCCTCTGCAGCACCAGTTCGATCCCCGGCTGCTCCCCGGCCACCAGAGGAGGGTCCCACATGGCGCGCAGACCTCTCCTGCTGCCCGCTGCTCCCCTCAGCAGTGTACTTCGGTCCTTCTGCCTGCTCTGCTCCCTGCTCTGGCTCTGGTGAATTCTCTCACCCTCCCGTGCTTCTGACTGTATCCAGTGCTTGTATAAATAATAAATCTTTAAAAAAAAAAAAAAAAAAGATTTTTGAGTTTAAAAACATCTGAGTTGGGTTTTGGACTAAAACCAAAGACATGGAACCTGGGGTCAGCAGTCATTAGAAAAATACTCTTGATAGATGATCAGATGAAGGAAAGGTACACAAGCTACACAAGTTCATTTTCATTGATTTTTGAGTGTACATTAAATTTTACTAAATAATGTCTTCTATAAAACTATTCTGTACGTGAAACAACTTAAAAAGGCAGTAATAGAATTGATAGACAGTATTCCCTGTCGCCATAACAAATATTCTTTTTGTATCATAAAATGAAATTCTACCCTCATTCAGGGTTGAGTTCCCCATACTCTTCTGTGCTATCTTATCGTGCAGATAAAATAATCCTACTATGGTTCAAGAACTGAACTGTTACCCAGTATCTGTGAATTTCAGCTACAAATTCCTTTAAACCTTTCCTTGAAGAACACCAGTTCTTTTGCAGGGTATTTAAGAATACATTACCATATCTCTGATTTCATGATCAGTTATTGAAATTAAGATAACTGAATAGGAATGGAAAGCTTAGGAATGAGCCTGGGATTTGATGTCCACCACAAATCTACCCACAACTTACCTCCCCAGTCTCCTATCACTCCTCCACGCACTTAGAACTTTGGGTAGAAGAATCCAAATCTGGTTCACACTTTCCTTCCATCATGTCGTTGTTTACATCATTTCCCCTCTTTGGAAACACTGCCTTCCTCGCATCTCTATTAAGGTCTTTACTTGTTCACATCTTCCTTTTCTTTTGAAACCCAGTGAAAAAGCTCAGCTTTTCATGTAGCCTTTCAGACACTCAGCTCAACTCCTGAGGTAGCCTGTCAAACACTCTCTGACCTCCAGGAAGTAATGTAAACTAAGTGGCACAAGACAGTCATTAGAAGCATACTATCATTATGGCACTGAAAACAAACATAAAAGCCACAGGGCTAACTTTGTCTCCCCTTGCAGAATTCATGCTAAGGTCTTAGATTACATTAATTATTTATTAAAATATTCATCTTCTTTTAAGTTATATAGACAATTTCAATGCAAACATTCAGTAGGGCATCTTTCCCATTGCTCCCAAGATTTCGCCTCTTTCTACTGCTGTAGGCATAGATGGCTTCACTCCATTCTGTCTTCTCTGGAGCATGACAGAATTCTACAAGTAAGAATAAAAAAAGAAAATCAGCCATGTATTAAATGTCAATCATTTGCCAGCAATTTTCTACTGATTTCTCGAAAAGGCAATTCCAAAAATAACCCAAGTTCTAAAAATAAAAAAAAACTAATTGTAGGACTCCAGTTATTTTTGAACTACTAACAATTAAATAGGCCTAACTAATCCTATAGGAATATGCTAAAAGTAACTGTGATAGACATGCACTGCTTACACACCAAAGCACAAGAGTATAGTCCATCAATAAGACCAGCAGTTAATTTAGTAGAAGAAAAGGAAACAGTCATATGGTACAGAACATTTTGACCAGGGACAAACATCATGTATGACAGATGTCCCAAAATTCTTATCACCAAATGATGGCATAGCTGTCCTGAGGTTAAAATGTTTTATGCAGGCCACAGCCTCATACAACTTTATGTTTACTGTGTCTCTTGGTACCCTTTTACCTTGGGCTAGATTTAATCTCCTATTGACTTGTTCATTATGGCCTGGTAGTGCACAAAATCCTTTTTTTCTAAAAAAAGATTTATTTATTCATGCATAAAAGAACCAGAGTACAGGCCAGATGTGCAGCAGGGTGAGAGGATTCACCAGTGACAGAGTGGGGAGCAGAAAGGCAGATAACTGAAATACACTGCTGAGGGGAGCAGTGGGTGAGACAGGAGAGGTCTGCCACGTCATGTGGGCATCTCCCCTGCCGGCGGGGGTCGAACCCACACTGCAGAGGCTGCAGACAGCTTCACAGTGCTGCACTCAACCGCCTGCACCACCAAAATCCATTGCTAGTGTTGTGTTTACACAAATAAATTGCTCTAGAGACACATTTCTCTGAACATATCCCCACTGTTAAGTGATGCATGACTGCAGTTAGATCCAGTACTCAAAGAAGCAGAAATTACATACCAAGGGTTCAAGAAAAATGAGACCATTTTAGCTACCATGGCTGGAAATGAGAGAGGGGAAGCAGAAATGGAAACCTAGTACATGTTACCACAGGACAAATGATCTATTCTGCTAGTCTCCAAGAAAACTAAAATCATAACAAAGTTACTGTTTTATAGCTGAAGATACTTTATATACCTAGGCAGACCCCCCCTATATTAAGACTGCATTATACCTTGAGTAGGATGAAGCAGCCAACAAGGGCTCTCAAGGGTTCTTTAGATCAAATAGCACACAGGGTAAGTTCAAAAAGTTTCCCTACAGGCCTCATTAAGAAAAGATTATGGACACTGATTAATTTGAGGCTTCAGTTTCAAGTTTAAGAGATGAGATTTAACAAAAAGTTAACACAGTTAGGCCTACCCAAAATTTCCGGCAGTTTTTGTACTTCAAGAAGTGCGCAGAACACCGTTCTCTGTCATAGTTATTTTCATCCATACATCTGGTAGAAGCATCTGATTCCTTAAATAGGTAAGATAAGCATCATTTGAGAGCTGGAATGGGACCTAAAAAAAACACTAACTGCTGAAGCTGCTTCCCCCCAAAGCAGACAGTTCCTCTTTTGTTCATTTTGATGAACATTTATTAAACAAAACCTGAATTAACTTTCCAACTGTCCCAGCATCTACTCTGCTCAAGGTAGTCATCTTTCTTTTTATAGTCTGAACTACTTTTCTGACTATTTGGATCACAAGAACTTGAGCCAAGCACAGACTGAGATCTCTTAAAACCCAGGAAACATTTTTAAAAGACACTGAGGCAAGGTGCAATGTGCTACACTCACTGTTGCACAGCTAAAATCAAAACCCAGTCTCCAACTCAGTGCTCCTGTTTGTCTGAGTTTTTAATGTTGACTTGTACGTTTGATGTTAATGCTCGCTTCAAGATCCTGTCAATCACTAATAGCCGTCTCAATCAAGGCAACGTGAATTAACACCATTCATCTTAATGTATTTTTGGTTATCATTCACTCCATTACACAAGGAAACATACTATTATGTAAGCAATTTCAATAGATATCATTAATATCACTTCAAAACCAAAGGGAGCAAAACAGGATTATGAGTTCAAAGGAGGGTAGCTGCTATTTGGGAATTAAGTTTAAGCTACGTGAGCTGGAAGTATATTGGATAACAAACTTCAAAGTGACAGATATGATTCTGAAAGGTCATCTAAAGGAAAGATTTAACTAAAGGGTTAAGTAATTTGCTTCATAGGTCTAACAAACATATTCAAACAGACTTCATAAAACTGTTGAAAATGGGGCCTCCCCGGAGGCACAGCAGGTTGAGCATAGCGCTGTGAAGCTGTCCACAGCCTCTGCAGCGCTGGTTCCATTCCTGGCCGGCCAGGGAGATTCCTACATGGCGCCGCAGACCTCTCCTGCCTCGTGCGCTGCTCCCCTCAGCAGTGCTTTCGGTCTGTCTGCCTGTTCTGCTCCCCACTCTGTCTCTGGTGAATTCTCTCACCCTCCCGTGCCTCTGGCCTGTAACCCAGCTATTGTATAAATAAAAAATAAATCTAAAAAAAAAAAAGGATGTTGAAAATGAATATAATATACAGAACAAGCTAAATTTCTACATCAAATATGTAATCAATGGGCATATTTGGAAAAATGCATACAGGATAAGGGAATACAATTTTCATAGCACTACTCTAATGACTGCATTATTCAAGGGTGACAAAGCCACAAGCACTATAAGTCATACCAAATAAATGCCAGTAAAAAAGCTTGTTATTACAACAAAACATTTTGTTTATATAACACCCTTGTGAAAACCTATAGGCTTTAAATAGGTTAATTTCATTATCAGTCCCTTACCTCTTAGCCAGACTGCCTCAAAGACATGAAATACTGATATCACAAAAAATTTCAGTAACAGTTTAAACGTAACATACTTACAACTTTCCGTGTTTGAACTAAAGATTTTCCTCAATAGCACATGTCTGTCTAGCATTACAGTGACAACTAAATACTTGTATGTTATACAAATAACAGGAAATGAAAAGAGATGCATCTTTGTTGGCTAAATCATGGAGAGACAAAAATGCTCTAGTGAACGACGATACGCTGATCAGGAATATTCCTTGTGCAGAAATAACTTTATTCAAAAACTACAGAAAACAGATGCCCACAAAATCAGAGGAAGCCTGTTTTCCTAACTTAACACTCATGAAAATTAAAAGCAAACCACCTACCGACAAGCAAGGATTTATGTCAGGATCTCTCAGCCTCCGTGCTACCACAGGCATCCTAAGAGTCTTCTTACTGCAAAAGCAAATGTTGGGGAAAAGAGTTACACAGTGGATGACAGAAAATAAATCAATAAATCTCATTAGTCCCATAAGTACTTGAAAAATTAATTTTGGCGTAACAGTTATCTATTGAGAAAGTTCAAGTATCCTCTGTATTTTGAAAATGAGGACTTGGATGTCTTTTTCCTTTGCCTTGCCATGGTGCCTCAGCACAAAAGCCATATTGAATGTATCTACTGTAATTTGATTATAATGTCTGGACAGATAGTTAAGCTATAAATCAGTTTGTTTATTCTTACTTCTAAAGTTTAATCAATAAATGTACTAACAAAACCTAAGAATACAGTATGCACTATAATAATTACTTCCTTATTACACATTGATCAGCATAAAAATAAGTGTGAAATAATTTAGTACAAGCCACCAACTTTAGCAAAAACATTTATTAACTAAGTAGCTGAATGCCTACTCTGGCCACAACTGGGATGGCAAACATACCAAAAAATAAAATTATTACTTAGCTGACATTTCAAGAAGTTGAAACCTTACTTCCAGAGGCATCTTCTATTTAACTGATATTTTCCTGGGTTGAAGGAAGTCAGGTAATGCTACTGTGGTTCATTAATCTTTCAACTCAAGCCATACAGTTACAACCCTACTTAAGTCTTTATCGATTAAAGATGATTGGTTCCCTAAAGGGCAATAAATTACTTCAAGTCAAGTCATATAATAGGTATGTCGACTATATCTCAAGACAATCATGTTCTCTAATGGAGTTCAACTGAAACTAGCATGCCTAATTTAGTCAAAGAAATGTCATAAAGAACTAAAAGAGAAAGTTAAGCAAACAATAGTCAACTAACTATTAGCTCAGTGATTTTTTTGTTGTTGTTGGTTTCACTATATTGGTATACTAGTGATGGACCACCCACAAATATTTTTAAATGCTCTGCTCAAAATTTAAGGTGTCATTTAACTTGTATTCCCAAATCCTTCTATCAATAGCTTAATAATTTTTCACATAAAGGAGAAGCCAGCAGATAATGTAATAGGACCTAAAAAATTTATTGGGCTACCAAATAAAAACCAGTACCAGTCAGTATAACCAGACAACATAAGTTTTGTATAAAATGGTTTCTACTTTCCTTGCCCAAGGGAAACTGTTAAAAGAAATAAAATACATTCAGAAGAAAACAATCAAACCCCCAAAGCTCCTGAAAAGTGAAGTATTCTCAATAAAGAGTCACCTAGGTCAGTTTCTTCTAGAAACTTTTCGGAAAGAAGTGGATGTCCAAGCTAAAAGGAGATCAAAGCTTGGCAAAAGGATACAAAACAGTTTAGTCATTCTGGGGTCCTTTAACTTTTAGGGCCCACTAAGTGATCCTTTTATTTTATGGGTTTCACTAACCACATGCTACGGAAACATCTAGGCAAGAAGGAAATTCAAGATCCCATTCAACTATATTTAGGAGCGTCTTCCTCCCCTGAACACAACCCCTGTGCAGGTTTTATTTATTCCCAAGAGAGATGGTGGTAACTCGCAGCCTTCTTTATTACATCTAACCGAAGACCTGAGAACACAGAACTCTGCTTGCTTAGCTGTTGGCATTCCTTTGACACAATCTCAACAAAACACAAAGAAAACACATGATGGGTGCCTCACATGAAAGTGTTCTATTCTGCATTTTATTATCAGTCCGGAATTCTTTAAAAATAACACTTCGGTAACATATATACCGAATCAAGTTTCCAGCAGCAGTTTATTCAGTTTTCATTTCCTTTTCCTCCGGGGTTCTAAATACAAGTCAATCTAAGTCTGGATTTCCCGAATATACCTTTGCATGAATTCCTCATGTATTCACTGGAAATGAAGAGGAAATGTCCATTTATAATGAGGAGCGAGGCTGCAGGGCAAGAGAGTGTGTTCCGCTAGAGAGAGGCCTTATCTACTAACTTTCTGAAAGCACTTAAACAAATGTTAGAAGGCTATAGTCTCGGAGGAAAGCCAGAGAGAAAACCAAAGATTTTAGGGCCACAAAAGCACAACACACTTGAGAACTAACACTACAACCGTCTCCAAAAGGCAAACTGCTTTTTAAAGAAAAAGCATTTCTTGATTTGCCATTTAGTTGTTCACGTTCAAGTAGTCTGGAAAGGTGATGGAGGGGAAAGAACGTCACAGAACACGTCCCCGCCCGCGGGCAGGTCAGAGCCCAGGTTGGGTCAGTGACATTGACAAAAGGCAGCTGCAACTCTCGGGAAGCTGAGGCAGGACGTGCGAGAACCCCGAGCCCTTACCCCACTGCCGAGTGCAGAGGCCGGCCGGGCAGTCACCGGGGCCCGCCGGAGGAGGCGCGAGCAAGTCCAGGGCAGGGAAAGGCGCCAAGGCCTCCCCGCCTTCCGCGCTGCCGCCGGGCTCCGTGCAACGGCGGGCGCAGGTATGCACACCTAGCCCCGACCCCCGCAGTGCAGGGAGGGGCGCGGGGTGAGGAAGAGGCGCGGAACTGCGGGCAGAGGCGGGCGATGACGCTTTAAAAGCTGGACAGGAGAAGCGGGGGTGCCCGGGTCCCCACAGACCCAGTCCGTACAGACCCCTGTCACCGGGACCAAGAGCGACAGGAAAGGGCCTGCGAAGCGCCCAGGCCTTGTGGAAGCGGCTTAACGCCCCCCAAAATGAATTCGGAACCCGCGCCGGCCCCGGGGCGCCCCGTTCCCCCTTCCCTGCAGCGCCGCGAAGGGAGGGCGGGGGACCACTCACCTCGGACGGCCACTCCGCCAGCACCCAGGCCGTCTCCAGCTCCAAACACGTCAAAGGCTCACGCAGCTGGGCCTTAAGTAGCGCGCACCCCAACGTGCTGCCCCCGCTCCCCGGCGGCCCTCGGCCCAATCAGCGCGCGCCGCCGCCAGACTGACAGCCGAGCAGGGCCCGAAGCGGCGGGGGCGGGCGGGCCTCGCCCCGCCCCCAGCTGGCGGGAGGAGGGCGGAGGCGGGAGGAGTGGGCGGAGCGGCGCGCGGGGTCCCGCCCCTCCCCCGCCCCGCCGCGCCCCCCGCGCCGCGCCTTCCTCTTAACACTTCGGGTTGACGGACAGCAGCACGGACCAATCGCCTGCCCCGCCCCCGGCGGCGGCGGCCCCTAGTGGTCGGCCCCGGGGCGGAGCGCGCGCGGGAGGTGGGCACCGCGGCGGGTGGGGCGGGGGCGGGGCGGCGGGAGGCGGGGGCGGCGGCCGAGGCGGCCGGGGGAGGCGGCGGTGGGCGCGACGTCGGCGGCGGCGGCGGCAGCTGCAAGTTGGGCTGCAGGGGCAGCGCATACACTACAATGGCTGCTGGAAAGAGGCGTAAGGAAACAATTTCCAGGCCCGCCGCGTCCAGCCCGAAATATGAGAAAAAAATTATTAGAAATTCCGCGGGCGGTGTAAAGGCGGCGGACGGGCCGGAGGGAGGATGTTAGAGCCCCGCGGTGAGTTCTCCCGGGGTCCGGGGCGCGGGGAGGCGTTGAGCGGGAGAAATATCAGGGTTATTTAAATTATGGGACTCCGCCGAGGGGGCAGAGGAGCCGCGGCGGCGGCAGGAGGAGGAAAAGTTTGTGCTTCTCTCAGCCCCTGCTCGGGACCCCGGCGAGGAAAATAATAATAAATAATAAAATAAAATCCCGCCGCGAGGCGCGGGGACCCCCGGGGGCGCCCGTGACAGGGCGGGGGGCGCCGCGGCCGGGGCCCCGAAGGTGAGGGCGGTGGGAAAAAAAAACCCCTTTATTCAGGGTCTGGAAAGTTTGAAAAGTTTTCCTCCTCCTCCTCCTCTCTGGTGCTGTGAATATTGTGACAGCGGCAGCGGCAGCAGCGAGAGCGGAAGACATTAGAGACCCGAAAAATCAGGGAAAAATTAATATAAATTCAGTTTTGCGAGTAAACTCTCCGCATTTTCCACCAAAACATCCCGGGGGAAGGTCGCTTCCCAAAGGGCCTGGCGGAAACCCGCGGTCGGCAATATTTGGGGGGCACTTTGAGTGACTTGGGGTAACTTTGCCCCTTTTTCAAAAGAGGTTTTTCTTTTTTGGAGAAATGAATTTGTTTTTGCCTTTTCCTCAGGTGGGCGAGTCGGGGTCGGGGTGCGGGGTCTGCGGGGAGGTGGGAGCCCCGGCTGTGGGGCGGCGGGGGGGGGGTAGGGGGAGGGGGTGCTAAATGAAAGCAGGAGATCTGCACAGAGCAGGGACAGCTTGTTGTCAGTATCATAAACAACCAAAATGGAGGGAGAACTCAGGCATATAACCAAATAAAAATTTTTAAAAAATCGCAAAAAATCCCTAAAAATCCGGGATGCTCCCCCTTTTCTTGCTAAAGGTAAAAGTGTGAACCGCCTTTCCCCTGAAGTCCATTTTGACTTTGCAGGGACCAAGGAGTTAATATTTATTTATTTTTTAAAACTTTCGAAGGGCAAAAGCCTTTTATAACTCAACCGACAATGAGAAAACGTGAAAATCCGATGCAAGAGAAGGAGGGGGAGGGAGGGGGGAGGTGGTAGTGCAGAAACTGCTAAACTTATTGGTAATGTGGACTGATCTGAGATAAGATAAACACTATATTTGCTATTTTATAACACTCTTTTCATGATCTTTGCGGGGTTTTGGGGGTGGAAAAAAAGTGATGCCATTTTCTTAATAGAGTTAATGTGTGTGATTGGAAAAATAAAGCTTTCCGACTTTAGATTGCAATTTCGTCGCATTTATACTTCAGGTTTTGTTAGTGGCTCCCTCCTTTCTTTAAACCAGACTCTACTGTGGAGGGTGAGGGAGGTGATGTTGCACAGAGAGACCGAAGTGCAAGACTGGAACACCTTTTGGGGAAGGGTAGGGGGTTGCTGGCTTTCTCCCTTCCTGACACGTTTGCTTCACCTGCTCATCCTCAGTAAAGAACGTTAAGCTGGGGTTTTCTGATTTTAGGTATATAAAAGGATGGTGTCTTGCATCACACCGAAGTTAATGGGAAAGTGCTGCTGATGTTGGTTCCACGTGGGATATGGGACAGAGCAGGGCATTTTAAAGAGACAGCTTCTCTTTTCTTATGATTTTCATCACCTATGTGGAATCATTGTCTGAGGACCAAAAACAGGTGCTGGGAGGGTGTGGTGATGGAAGAGCCTTATCTTTCCATTACTTACGTGCATCCACCTTTAGGAGTGATGGAGGGAAAGGAGGAGAAACAGGCTCTACAGAAGATGGATATGTGTAAATTAGTTTGTATCCAAGCTGTTCTTTTGTGTCATAAGCCCTCCCAGGAACTTTTGTGTTACATTGTTTTGCTTTGGAAGCTGATTTTGGAAGGAATTGTGGAAAAATGGAAATAGTTTAAGGTGTGTGGTGTAATGGTATAGCATTATTGAACAGTTATGAATTCAGTGCAGTGAGATCAAAGAGTTGCGTATGCCTATAATGTGATTTTACAGCCATTTTGTAAAAGCTGTAAAATACCTAATATTCAATTTGGCTTAAGGTATATTGAGGATTGCTGATTGAAAACTGCAAACAGAGTGGTGGAGATTCTTTGACATTGTAAGCAGGAAGCACCTCTGTAAGGGGGGGGAGAGCACATACACCACTCCATGGAAAAGTTTACATGTGTGCATCTTTAAAACCTCAATCCTGTATGTGTGTTGACTCTGCACCTTTAAAATATATTTTAAAGATTTTTTTCAAGCTTGAGACCCACCAGATTGCTCCTTTAAGTTGGATTTATTTGTGTTTTTTAACAGGAAATGTTTACAGATCATAAACTACCATTGACTCTATTGGTTTAAATTTTCACAATGACTTCAAAATTTAAAATATAGAAGTTGTTTGCTGTACTCTTTTAAGGACTAAGGTTGATCTTGGGGGGAAAATTACCAGTGTTCCATTTTTTAGAGGCATATGGAGGTTCTGAAATAAATGCTTATTTTCATGTTTTTATTATTTCCAGAAATGGGTTAAAATTAAAGCTAGATTTTTAGGCTTCTTATATAGAATTTTTTTGAGATACTGTACAAGCAGATTATTATTTTGAAGTCTATTGTATGTTAAACTTGTGTTCACAACTGGGGTCTTATCTGCACCTTTCTGCAAATACCTTCATAAACACATTACTTTAGTGTAGTGTTTGAGTACATCATCTTGTGGTTTCTGATTTTGGAAGCAATTACAACTTTCTGAGAACTCATTAAAAATTTAATCCCTTAAACCACTGTTAAATCAAAATTGATTGGAAAGTGATTAAACGATCAATGGAGAAGAGAAACTTCCCTCCTCCCCAAAATAATCTTCTGTCCAGAGGTTTCAGAATGCCATAAATACTTAGAAAACCTTTGAAGCTTTCTTACACTTTCATTGTATTTTGAGCAGAAGACAGTTAGATTGAAATAAGTAGTCAGAATTATGTTATGTGTTTCAAATCAATGAGATTTTTAGATTTTGGATATTTGTCACTTTGATACTAGGGATGGTAGCATCAATAAATTCAGTATCTATAGAAGTGAAGGAAAAGTATTTTTCCCAGTTATATTAGACTTTTGAATTCCCCAGGTTGTTTGGACACTTAAAGTCACAATTAGTTTATTAACAACTTAAATAAAAGTGCTAGTATTGTGATTTTTTTTCCTCTCTCAGAAAGAATAGTATGAAACTTTCTTCGTGTTTCAATGTTCCAGAACTAGCTACTTTTCTTATTCAGAAAATGCACCCAGTGTGCAAGTATAAAATCTGTAATTCCTTAGAGAGTTTTATTTAGATAGGACACAACACAATATATAATTTGAATTGGTTGTAGAGTTTTTTAATGCTTTAATAATACTACCTATTGAGTATCCTTTTTCTGAAGCTACTATTCAGTTATGCCAGTTTACAGAAATAATCTAAGGTCATTCATTGTATGTGCAAAACCTTTATTTCAGTTAGAGAAACCGCATAGGTTGAGATTCTTTTTTGAAACTTACATTCTTAATTTTGCTATTCAAAATTCTGTAAGGAATTTAGTTATTGTGGAGATGATTCACAAATATGGGTTAATACAGATGAAATGTTCTATCTGTATATTATTTTAACCAAAATATTTTAATAAAGTCATTTTACAGCTAGATAAATTAGTGAATTTGCTTTTATCAATATAGTTTACATTTTTTTAAGGATATTCTTTGTGTTTTATTATCACACAAAGGTGGGTTTTTTCCTTCATTTTAAACAATCCTGCTTGTTCCTGTGTACATTTTGGTTTGGTATTCCAGACATTTTCTTTCTAAGTATTAAATTGCTTTTTGCTAAATTAAATGTAATGCTGCTGTCCTTGAGATTTGAAAAACCAGATAACTGAAACATGTATCTATAATTATCTATGAAGTTTTGTCTCAAGCATTTGCCTCTTGAAATTTGTAATCAAGATATTGGTTTCTTTTAGGAATTTATCAGTGTTTTTCATTTAAAATCCTGTTCTTTGGAAAATTAAAATATATGAAAAATTACCTGTTACATACACATAGCAAAGATAAAATTTTACTGAATAACTTTATTAGCACTGCTTGGAATAATTGGGGTTTTTTGGATATGTTTTCAAATGTATGAGAGATATTTTTTTTTTTTCCTCTTCGTATTGGTAACATCTTAAATTCTTTAGTTATTTGAGTAAGGAAAGAGTTTCAGAAGCAGGAAAGATTAAATCTGTTCAACAAAATCCAAAATAGTGAATATGTTAAAGGTAAAAAGGCTATATAAATTGTCCCTTAAGCTGTTTTTCAGATGTTTTAAGAACCTGATAAAGACCTTTTCAGAAACATCAGATACTTTGAAAATATATTAATCACTGCAACAAATACCCCCAAAATAGATCTTTAATTTCCTTAATTTTAACAGCAATTAATGTAGGCAACATATTTAACCAATCAGTAAGTGTTTAGGTAGCCTTAAAAAAGTATTTACAAATAAGTTAAATGTGAGAGCAGGATACATTCGATTGTTGAATTGTAAAGTTAAGTATGATTTTAGAATTCATGCATGGGAATTTTTTACATTACCACTTTGGAGGTAAACTAATTTTTGCTTTTTTTACTTCATTGCCTAATTTTTGGAAATACCTGAAATTGATATATATTGTGTTACTGCTTTTCATTTGTAACAGGGCAACTTTATATTTCATTAGCAAATTAAATTTTTAAGTTTAATTTGAAAAATTAAGTGAAATTTTTAGATTCTAATATTTTATGAAAGTATTGGTGTGTAGTTATTAACATTTGAAATTATGAGAAATATACATGTATGAAAACCTAGTAAAAATTATTACAGAGGAATAATTTGATTTTTACTTTTAAATTCCTTGGCCTGATGCCCAGTGGTTTGTATTTACTCAGTGTGTACACCTGTCTCTGCCTCTTCTTTCCAAAGTGGTACTGACAAGGATATCATAGTGTGGAACTACCAAGGCTACTTTGGCATTTTTGTTT